TTGATGAGAGACCACCTGTATTGCCTCCCATTCAAGCAAGACAAAAAAAGAGGAGGAAAACCTGTATCTCCTGCTCATACGTTAAAAAAATAAAAATATTGAAACAATTATTTAACATTTCACCTCACTGATATTGTACATATTTTTAAGTTGCTTTCGGCCTACAATTATGGCTCGTGCAGGTACTTTCCTCTGCCTAACTTTGCTATCTATACACCACACAAAAAACAAACAATTATCACCTACAAAGGGTATCTTTGCGCTGTGAATATCAAATTACTCCTGTTGACACGACACCCCAACAGGGCACAGAAGTTCGCTGTGAGCTAGCAACGCTTAAAAGCAGTCATCCAGCACACAGAACCCAGACCACAATGCATATTATGCCTCTAAATTAGTCATCAGAAAACAAGTTTCTCTTCTGAAAACAGAAAGGATATAGAATATTAAAACAGCAGAACTATAAAGACAACAATGCCCTGATAATTTAAAAGAGATGCTTAAAGCAGAGTCCTTCAAAACTCTCTATAGATTAGTCTGTAACAGAATGCACAAATTCTAACTTTTAAAAAAAGAATATTATCCAGCCACTTGTGACCGGGAAGCTAAAAAAAACTTTCAACCCATATAAGCAATGGAGTATAACACACAAGAATTGTTTATAGTGTTTACAAGCTTGGCCTCAAATTACTGCTTGATTAAATTAACAAAATCCATTACCTCTACATCAGTCATACTAAAGAGGCTGCTATTATGTCTAAATATAAAAATCCTTTCCTTAACACATTTTAGCAACCATCACATCAGGCTGACTCTTCCAAGCCAGCTTTTCCTTCCTTATTGAGACTGCTTTCCCAGGGAAAACCCCATTCCTTCTACAAGTTAACTGTGTACAGGTGAACCTGTAGAGATTATGAGGCTCGTTACCACAATCTAAATGCCTACCAGCTGCTTCATCAGGTGTGGGACCATCAGCAAACAACCACATGCTTTTTTTTTTCTTTTCTTTTTCTGATTGTACTAACCATGAAGACTAACAGGCCTTAAACCCAAATCTGAATCTGAATACTCACATAACCCCTTGAAGCATTGCTCTGTTAAACTAGCAAAACAGATGGCAGAATGACGCAGTACAGAGCAGACCAGAGGCAGGGTGGTTGTTTTTGTAATAAAGAAGGGGTGCAGCAGCTTATAAAGTTACCTAAGCGTTCGTCTACTTCCTGCTGCATAAGCTGAAAAACATTCAAATAATTTCCCCTTGTTCAAAACATTTTCATATCCATGCAGTTGTGACTAAATTCACAGAGTGTTGACAAATTCATGCAAAATCATTTTTTCCTTATTCAGTATCAGGCTTTCCTTAAAAAAAATATTTACTGCCAGATAAAGTTATCAACAAAGATAACTTGTCCAAAGATAATTTTCCATGTGTCTGATATTTGTCAATGGGTATAACAGCATTTCCAAGCAGTATGTTACTCCTACAGCCTATTCCGTACCAGTGCATTCATATGGCCTGTCATTGGCCAGTATGAAAAGAAACACTGCAGCAATCGTCTGTCATTTCACACACTGTTTTTTAGCCTTTGGCACTGTTCAGAGACCAAATACACTGTTGACTTTAAGAGTACGCCTGAGAACACTGAAAATACATATTTCAAGTCTCAAGTTAGACTCATCAACTCTTGACTCTTAAAAAAGAACTATGTTTGGTTTTTTATGTAAAAATGTGATTAAAGAGTTACAGTTTCTTTTCAAACTCCTGAAAAATACCTCTGATCAGTGTAACCTTCTTCAAGACAGGCCAAGTTAAATTATTTTCTGAGGACCTTATCTTTAGGTTTTAATGGCACACTGCCATTTCAACAACAGCTGGAGTAGTAATGCTAAATTTTCCTCAGTTAAAACTGGCTGCTTAGGAAAAACATTCCCTCAACTACTAAGAAAGCCTTGAGTTGCTCTCACAGTTCCTCACTAAGGTACCTCATGAGGAAGCTTTGCTGCATAGGAGCACTGAGATCTAGCAATTTCTAAATGACTGGGCTGCCAAAAGAGCTGACGTTTATTTCAAAAAGTAGATTCCAACGTTCCTGGGATGCAGCTAGGCAAAAAAAAAAAAAAACTAGATCATTCACAAGAAAAGAAGTGCTACCAAAGAATGACCAGGCTGGCTGGGAGAGGACATAGTCTGCTGAGGGAAAAAAGTCAGGCATCAGAAAAGGAACTACTCCTATATTTTTTGCAGGCTTCTTGCATAGAGTGCATAGACGCAGACAGGAACCAAGTGCCAAGCAAGGCAAAACTATACACTCAGATGACCGTCTATCCTGTCAAGCGTTAACTGACTGCAGTATTTTTAAATGGAGTAGCCTATTAGCCTACACACAGCCCAAGGAACTACTGTTTTCCACATGTTCCTGCATCCTTTTCTCAGCCAGTAAGTTCATTGTGGGCTACAAATATTTCAGAGGGGATCCCACTCTGTTCCCATGTAACCTGATCAGCAATAATCTCACTTAAAAGAGAAGTTGGTTCAGATACTACTTTCCATAGTGTTTCTGAACTACATCACCATAATTTTTGAAAAATCATATAAAAATGGACATAAAGGAATTAACTATGAAAGATCATTAAAGAGCTCTCATGTGGAGTCACCACTTTCTCAGTATTTCCTCTGGGATTAAGAATTTGAGGATTTCTTCCACCCACCACACTGTTACAAGGCACAACACGTACAGTACAACTAGAATCTTAAAGCAGAAAAGATCATCCACAATGCCATACAATACGTACAATATGCTCTTGTTTTCCTAGTCCACAAGTAATAGCTGTATGAAGGAAGAAATTTGAATACTGTAATCAGAGTAGGGGATCAATCTAAAGATACTTACTTTAGGAAAACAAACCAACAAACAAACAAAAACCCCAAGCATATAAGACTCGCCATCCCTCCATACAACACGGCAAGGATATAGTCTAGCAGAGGTGATCCGGAGAGGAAGAGCCACCTGGAAGTGCAGAAAAACGCACTGAGAGGAATACTTTTGTCCTGTTCCAAGACTTTCTTCAAAAGTATCTTTCTTCTGACTCTTTCAAATTGTCTAGATGAAGTCTACCGCAAGCCTAAAAGAGCTTACAAATAAATTTCAGGAGCAAAGAACATATATAACAGGACATGTTTCTTCCTTGCCACAAGAAAGCAATTTGAATATCTAGGGTCTTGGTTGCATTTCCCATATCTGATTCCCGTGTTCCTCCCAAGCACATTCACTTTGGTACTTAGCACAGGAAAACCCAGAGCAGTGCATAAGGGAAATATTATGTATATCACATTATTGCCTTCCATAATGCCCATTAGAATTGCTGGACCTCAGACGTAAGAGACATTTACTGAATTGCATAAAGCTAATAATTCAACCAACAACAGCAGTTTTGAAATTAGGGGAAAACTACTGCTCTTTTGGAGAACCCATGCAGTGAAACTGCAGTGCAGAAACTGCAGTGAAGGGCACTTAAATCAATTGTTCTCAGTCCAGCTGCAAGTTCTGTGTGTTTGATTCCTTGATACATCTGCAGCCAAAGGAAAAAAAAAAACCACCTCTGTACGTATCTTAGCAAACCTGTGCCTTTCTCCTTTCCGTTATGAATGTGAAATTTTAACTACCTATGTGCTTATTTTTTTCAGTAGCCTTACACAAAGTTTCCAATTCTTTCCCAGTCCCACTTTTGTTAGCATGGAGATATCGACTCACCATTGAAACTAAGGACATAAGCACTGCTTTACAAATAAGGTAGCAAAGACTGCTGTTAAAAAAGCTACCTACTTTGTTGCTCAAGATGACTGCAAAACCCAAGAGGCATTACTTTGTTCACCTCAACACAAGGTGTATTTTAGTCATTGATAGGCATCCCATTTTTTTCCAGTAATTGATAAATTGCTTTCACTCAGCCAGGAGGTGCATGCAGGTCCCATAGGAGGTCCTGATGCCCTCCAAGGAAATCCTCTCACTAATTCCTTCAAGTGAGCACCTTGTGGCAAATTATTCCTAAGCCATAGCCTCTGATTTCACCCTCTGCTCCCATTTTAGAAGCAGAGGTTCCACCTTGGCCAGTTAGCAAACACCCTTTTGCAATAGTCCTCGACCAAGGCTCCAAATGCTCTAGACCAGTAGAAAGCCTGTTGCAGCTCAGGCTGACAAACAATAGTGTGTTATTGCTGTCACTCATTTGACCTGTAAGATGACATGCTCTGAGCACTGAAAAAAACAAATCAGATCCCAAAGTGAGCTAGTGAAGTCTCTTTTAAAAGTGTGCTGTGCAGAGTTGCGTTTCAGAGGATTTTCCGTGCTCATTTCCACAAGGGACAGCGGTAAGATGAAATAATTTTTTTCAACATACCAAGATACACAAGCACCTACAGTATTGACAAAACCAAACGCAGTAACGCCATGAAGAGGGAGGAGACTTCCTTTTACTAATCACCTGTGGTTACGCTGAGATTGCCCTGCCACGATTTCACCGGTTCCCAAGAAGCACGCCTACTGACAGGTTACTCTTTCCACCACACCGGCTGAGCAGTGCCCAGGTAAAAGTTCGCGCAGGAGGCGCGGGCAGGCAGAGCCAGGAAAGGCACCGCGGGCGGCAGAGCGGGCAGCGCGGGGGCTGCGCGGGCC